AGGGGGGGGAGAGAAAGGAGGAGGAACTTTGGGGGTTGATATTCTTTGCATCGAGGTGGTTTATCCAAATGTCAGTCGATTAGCCAGTGGCTGTTGCTGCAACCGTGGCTGCGTGCTGTTGCCCGGCTGGGCATGGTGAGCTGCCAACCTTTGCTTGCAGAGACTCGATGAGCAAGTGGGCACGCAGAAGAGAGAGTTGGAAGAGCTGCTGTCGCAGGCCCCTCCGCTCAGAGGGGACGTGCACGAGGCGGACAGCCAGCGGCAGAACATCGAGAGGAGGTTCCTGGATCTTCTGGAGCCCTTGGAGAAGAGGAGGAAGGAGCTGGAGTCGTCCAGAGCCAAGTACCAGCTCAACCGGGATCTGGCAGATGAAACGGTAAGTTCCCTGAACGGCCGTGTGTGCCCCATCTGCTTCTCCCGGTGCTCCCTGGGCCTCTGACCCTAGTGCCTCCCAGCTCCTTGGGAGTGGCTCCCGCGCCTTGGCTGATACAGCAAGGTGCTTCACACAATTTATGAGGTGTGTTACGGTAGCTCTGAGGAGCTCCATCCATGGACCAACCTCACAGTAGGCGCTGCACATTATTAGGTGTATTACGGTAGCTCCTAAGCTCTGCAGGCATGGACCAGACCCCCAGGCAGCTGGGCGCTGTACGTTATTAGGTGTATTATGGTAGCCCCTAGGCACTCCAGCCAATGAGCAGAGGGGCAGGGTGCTAGGCGCTGTATACTATTCCTAGCTCTGCAGCCATGGACCAGACCCCCAGGCAGCTGGGCGCTGTACGTTATTAGGTGTATTATGGTAGCCCCTAGGCACTCCAGCCAATGAGCAGAGGGGCAGGGTGCTAGGCGCTGTATACTATTCCTAGCTCTGCAGCCATGGACCAGACCCCCAGGCAGCTGGGCGCTGTACGTTATTAGGTGTATTATGGTAGCCCCTAGGCACTCCAGCCAATGAGCAGAGGGGCAGGGTGCTAGGCGCTGTATACTATTCCTAGCTTTGCAGCCATGGACCATAGCTCCAGGCGCTGTATGTTATTAGGTGTATTACGGTAGCTCCTGTTGCTCCAGCCAATTATCAGAGTTACAGGGTGCCAAGCACTGTACGTTATTAGGTGCATTACGGTAGCTCCTAGGCTCTGCAGCCATGGCCCATCGCCCCAGGTGCTAGGTGCTGCACAGAGACAGAGCAAAGGGAAGTCCCTGCACACAGAGCTTCCATTGCTTGCTGCTTGGCCGCCAGCAGCGTGTTCCCAGGCCAGCTCCCGGGAGCAGGGTCGCTGCTCGGCAGCCCCAGAGCAGCTGGCGGGGGGGTCAGTGGGCCGGATTCACAGCGAGAGGATCCAGATGCAGGGAGCTGGCGCTGCAGCTCGCATGGAGCCTGTTGACGGGCAGAGGGCTTGAGTGGGCAGCTCGCCACTCGGCCAGATCACGGGCCCCGTGCGCCCCAGGCTGAACCCCAGCCTCCCGGCGCCCTGCCTGCCCCTCCACAGCAGCCCCTCCATTCTCCTCCGCTCTGCCTTTCAGCTCTGGGTGCAGGAGAGGCTGCCCCTGGCCAGATCCACTGACCACGGCACCGACCTCCAGACCGTGCAGCTTCTGATGAAGAAGAATCAGGTGAATCTGGCTGAGCGCTGAGGTCAGAGTGGGGCAGCTCAAGGCTCGACGGGTGCTGGGTAAATGGCACCAGCGGCCTGGCCTCTCGCCAGAGGCATTGAGGGAGCTGCAGGTGCAGGGGGTGCCTGGGAGCCTGCCCCAGAGGCATCCTCTGGGAGTCTGGTACCTCTCACCTTGGAGAGCAGCAGCAGCGGAGGCTTTCAGCCCTAAGGGATTTGGATGCCCGAGTTCCATGCAGATGAATGGCATCCGGGTGCCCAGCCCCCCTTGGTGGCATGGCAGGGTCTTGGCCACAGTGCAGCTGCCACGCTCGTGCGGCCCCCCCGGCCCGGTGCCGCGCCGTGGGACGGTTACATCATGGGTGGGCACCTTGGGGCAGGAGGCATTTCTTCCCCGGGCTCTTCCTCTGTTGGCCCAGCCGGGCTCCACTCCCCTCTGTGCTGCTGCCCGTGCCGTGGGTCAGGAGCTAGAGGGCACCACACGTCTCCTTCCTCCCCCGCGTCCAGAGCTTGTGAATGACGCCGAAGTCAGATGGCTACAGGGAGCGCCCCATTGCTACAGACAGTGGCCGGGGGTGGAGCTGGAATCCTCCTGGCTCATCCCTTCCCCTGGGGAGTGGGACCCCTTCGCTGGCCTCAACACCCTCCTCCCGCTCTTCAGCATTAACCCCTTCATGCCCGTGGCCTCTGTCTCGCTGGGTATTTTGATGTTGCTCTTGATTAGCCGTATCAGCCTCCTGCCTAGGAGCAGCCCCGCCCCCTGTGCTAGGTGCTGGACAAACACAGAATGAGAAGACGAGATTCACACCCATATTAGTGTCCTTGTTTCCCAGCGCCTGGGCACCAGCCCGACACGGCCGTTGAGCAGGGAAGAGGCAGGCCTGCCCCTGCGCCGGGCG